TATATGTGGGATCTATAGGTTCCCCCAAATTCAACTTTTACCAAATTTATAACCATTTACTACACATAAGTACGAATTTTCAAAACTCCTTCGTTCCCCAACCCTACACTCCTAATTCCAAATTTAAAGATTCCACCTCTATCGGTTCACCTAAATCCCAATTGTATTTAATTAGTACCATTGTAATTAGTACCATATATTACACATTTATATAAATGTCGATAACAAACCCCCTCGCCAATTCCAGTCCGATCGGTTCGCTCAAATCCAAACTAAGTACTTTTCTTACACATAAATACAAATTTCCGAAAGTAACTTCACATCCATATCCTACCCTTCGCCTTTAATGCCTCCAAATTAAAATTGTACAAAATTGAGTACTGTTTAGTACTTTTTGTATACATGAGTACACATAGTTCCTCTTATATCGACCCTACTTCTCAACCTTTCTCGTGCTACGAAATTGATACTTATAATTGGAATTTCCAAACACCCTTTGGTACATTTATTGTAACTCCATCAGTGATCCTTATTCCAAGTTCTAGAGTTCTAGCTCTACCGGTTCACCAAATACAAATTATACCACATTTGATACGTTTCAGTACTTTACGAGCTCTTAGAGTAACCCCCACCCCAAACTTCAAGATACCAGCTTTAGCGGATTCGTCTGGGCGTCAAGGAATCGATAAGTCAGTCAGTCCATCACTTTTAGGTTTGAATAGCCCCGTATAATGTATTTTTTATCCCCTTCAGATTCAATAGAGGTGAGGAAAAAAATAATACGATGGTTTATTTTGTTTTTGAATTTTGACCTTCTATGCAGAAGATATCTGAAAAGGGTAGACCGATGAGATCCATCTCCAAAAGGATTAGTTAAAATATTAAGTTGTTCAAAGCTTGGTTCAAATGGAATACTTCATTCGCTTAATTGAATTTATTCATAAAGTCTCAAAGAGAATGACAAATTTAGTTAACACTCCACCTTATGGTGAGTCAATCGTGGGAATTAGACACATATTATATGCATTAAATTCTGACAACAATTCTTTCGTATATTCGTAATAAAGATTTGGTATTTTTTTTTATATTTCAGCCAATTTAAATTTTCTCATTTTTTTCCTCACATATGACGTCCGACATGCCTTGTAGTAACAACTGTTGCTTACATTGCACCCATGTTGTTTCCTCCATTACTGCACGTCACTATGCGAGTGTTATTTGTTAAATTCTATTTGTGCAACACACCAAAAACTACAACCACAAAGAGAACCAAGAACGAAAAACTAAAAGGAATATTCATGCACACCACTAAATATACAAAGTATGACCACATTGTCACATAGAAATTCAGCCAAAGGACATGGGGACATGAGATGACAACAAGTCTACATTGTTGGTTTAGATTGGTTTTGGGATATAAACGTCGTTGGCGTCGTTGTCGACGTCTATTTGTCCTGGTTACCCCGGTTTTCTTTGGTTCGCACATAACATGGCCAAGAGATCAAAAAACCATATTCTATAGTTTGTTATCCTGTCGTTATTCCCTTCTTGTCTTTTTTTACTTTTCTAATAACGAAGCCAACCAAGCCCAACTGTGATGTTTTTTCCTCCTTCGTTACTAGCCTCTCAGAGTTTCATTTCATGTGAATGTCTGGCATGGAACATGAAATTGGTTCCCCAGGAAGGAAAGAATGAAAGCAAATAACAGTTGTGTCAATACAACAAAATGTGAGTTGTTTCTGATGTTTCTTCACATATGGAAATGTAAAGGATTTACTGAAGCAGAGGGGGAAATATGATGTTGGCTATATTCCGAATTGTAGATACTGAGCGGGCCACAAGAACTTGGGAAAGGAAAGAGAGCCAAGTAAGGGCAGATCACTTGTATTTAAATTTTTTTGTTTACTTCCTGCAAAGTAAGTCGCAATCTTAATAGACTACCTGAATTGGCAGATTTCAGGATTTTCAGGGAAAAAATACGAAAATCAAATGCCAATAAAATTTATTTGAATTGGCAAAGTATGTCATAAGCAGATAACAATTTTAAAATCGAAAACGATTTACAACCACATCTGTTTATCGTTTGTTTGACAACTTCTTGGATAGTTTATTTGAATTAAAGAATTATGGCAAATGTGGAGATTATATGCCAACTTAAAAATGCTGTAGAGTGCAATGGGAAGACATTCTTTAAAAAAATAGCATAAACAAAATAACAAGCACACGCTGAAGATGACGCTGATAACAGTAAAATATGTGAATAGAAAATATACAACGAAAGAAAAACACATAACAGAGAAAATGAATAGGATAATGCCCATCATGCAATTGCGAACGACATGTGTGGACCACACCACACCATGCAGGTGGTAAATATCTTGTGGATCTACTTCCACATAAATACAAATAAACACATCATCAAAATGGACGAGCTAAAACAAGATTGGATAAGGTCAGCAAAAATGTGGTTTTTCTTTCTCGTATTTTCGCATAAAACACCAGGTTGAGAGAGAGCGACCGCATAAAAGAGCTGGAAAACTAACGATGTCACTAATAGCAATTTCAGGGAAATTGATTTTTATCATATAATTATGGACATTAACATCAACAATGGTGTTCCAAGTAAACTAAATATAAACACAAGCTCTTAATGCAAATATGGACTGAATATGATGTATGGACTGAAAATGAATGGTGAGATAATGAGTTATCTGGAATGAATTTATTGAACATAAGTAATGGCTCGAGGAAAAAATGTATTTATGGTGTTGAAAGTTGGAATCTACAAATGGGGAATGATCTTCAAATATGAATACAATTTAATACATGTGTTGCAATGTGCATAAATGATATAGAAATTGTTCCATAAACTGTACTTAAAAAAGATTTCCAGGCGATTTCGGCCTTGGGCGATAATGATCTTTTCATCTAATTCGTGGCTCGCTTTTATATTCCTTTTGTGATTAGGCATCCTCATCAATTCTCACAACATGATCTAGCCAACATAGTCGCTGCAGCTCGATACTTCTGTCAATGCCGATGTCCGACAAGTAGATGACAAATCTTATGGTTCATTCGATGGCGAAATTTAACGCAACACTCCAATAGTGTGCTTGAGTGCTTGCGCAAGTACCCGTGCTTCAGATCCATATAACAGCACGGGTAGTATCAGCGTCTTTTAAAGTGTGAGTTTGGTCTGGAGGGAGGTGAAGCTATAGTTCTCAAGTTCCGCAGTTGGTCCGAGTTTCCTGGACGTCTTGTGCATTGATACCATCAGCTTGGTCTTCTCGTCATTTACTGCCAATTCCACTTTGGCAGACTCTTTCTCAATTCGTTCAAAAGTGTCCGTTACCGCTCGCAGCAATGTTCGAACCATTAGATCGATGTCCACGGCGTAGGCCAGTAACGTGTGTTGTTTGGTGTACAGAGTGTCATTTCTGCGTATCGAATGACTTTTTCCAACAGAATGTTAAAAAGATTACACGACAAAGTGTTTGAATCCTCTTTCGGTATTAAAGGGCTCCAATATGTCCTTTCCGACTTTAACTGCTGACCTTGTGCCGGTTAAAGTTATCCTGCCGGCTTTAAACACACGCTGTCGAATGTGGATTTATTGTCGGCGAATTGATGGAATGCGTAATGTGCTTTTTGTGGGTCTTTTCCAGGATTTACCGCAGAGTGGAGCCGCATTAAGTCGATGGGAAGGAGACTAATTCCTCTATAGTTGGCAAATAGCGTCTTGTATCCTCTTTTGTGCACCGGACACAGGATGCTGAGGAGCCAAAATGTACTAATCAGCTGACCAGCATCTGACCACCAGTGTTAAATAGCTAAGTTGGCTGCTTTATTATTGTTCATCCGACTGATTGCTTTTAAGACCTCTCTGGTCTCTCTTATTGGTTCTGGGATATTTTCTTTACCGCCACTATTTCACATCAGAAGGTTTTCAAAATGCTCCTTCCAAATCCTCAACACGCTATCTGTATTTGTCACCAGGTATCCATCTTTATCTCTACAGGAGTATGTGCCTGCACCAAAGTCTCCGGTTTGGTGTTTTACTCGGTGGTAAAATTTTCGGACTTCGTTATGACTCCTGTATATCACGAGTTTTTCTAGTACTTTCTTCTTTTTTCTGAAAATACGTTTCTCATCTCTTTTAACTCCCGATAATTCTTCATTAGATGACGTGTTGCTACTGTCTGCAGTGTTGCCCTATTCGTTGCGTTTTCATATCAGTAGCATTACGATCATATAAATATTAAAAAAAATTTTTGACCGTTTCTGGGCAAGTACCAGAAGGAGTGGACCGATATTCCTATATTCGAAGTGGAATAAAGTTTGGAAGAAATAATATGGCCAGGCGGACTGACGGAAACATTTAGTCCAAAGAAACATGGACTCCAAAACCAATATTTCTATGAGGCACATTTTTGCCGCAGCGAAGAGAGTATAATTATAACAAGGAAAAACGCGTTAAATTCTTCGGCTGAAAATACCCTCAACCATATTTGTGGCAGAACTTGAGCCGATCCTGGGAGAAGTTAACTTCTTCCAAAAAAATGCCAAATTTCAATACCTAAATAGGTTGGGCCAAAATATTGAAAAAATGTATTTGCAGTTGAAAAATTGCGACATATATGAAGAAAGATTTTTATTTTATAAACTGAAATGATACATTACCTTTGTTTCGTTGAAAATACCAAAATTGATCGAGTATTAGGTTCAAAAATACGTGGGATCTTAAAGCTATGTATTTGTATACATCTTAGCTAAGAGATATTATTTCCGGCTTGCTCTAAAGACATCAGATAGTATTTTAAGAGATTGCCGTACTTGCTAACTTTCTTAAACATCCAAAATAAATTTCACGTTTCTACTTGTCCCTTAAAGAATATATCAGCCATTCATTGGTTCTTATTTTATAAAATAATTTTGAATTTTCTCCATATCAAAATAAAAACAAATTATTATTATTTATTTTTATTATTGTAAACAAGAAAATGTTTCCACATAATATTAGTGGAAATCCGACGAATAATCCATACAGATGTCAAATTCAGGAACGTATAAATGCATTGATTTGTTACGACAATGACTATCGACGCATCAGTGTTGAAATTAAAAAAGCCGAGGAGAACCACAAACTAGAATTGGAGAGAATTATTTTCAGTTGTTCCATGAAACAAAAAATGGGATGTTCTCCGGAATTTCAACAGCAACAGAAGAATCTCAAAACAGATATTCAAACTGTAGACAAAATGAAGGAAACATTTGAAAAGCGCATTCGTATGTTAACCAAAGAACGTCAAGATGTTTTTGATGCCTCAAGGAAATGTTTCCAAGAAATGCAAAACCTCAAAATTCAAAATCAACGATATCACATGAATTCGATTAATGATCTAAAGAAAATGGTTTTAGAAGCCGGTGATACGACAACAAGAAATAATTATGAAAAGGATATACAGGAATTGAATAAATTGTGGATAAAGGATATGCTATATATTGAGAGATGTGAGAGTGTTTTGAAACCATTTCTGGATTTATTATCAAATAATGGTGGTGGTGAGCCAAAGGCTCATTGTAATTTAAAGGATTGGAGTGGTGGAACTTCGAAAGGTAGCGTATGATATTTTTAAAATAGAAGCGATGAGTTATTCTTTGTATTCTCAGCTAAATCATTTCAAGAGGTTGTGAAAATTGAAGAGAATATCAAATCAGCAATGGGAAGTGTCTTGACAAAGCTATTGGCCATGATACATTTATACCAGCCATCGGATGTTAAAACTTTTGCTGCCAATTATCTTATGCATTTGAAGCACATCGATGATATTGTAAAGAACAAATTGGAGACAATTGAGTGTACAAAAATCGATTAAACATTTTCGACAAATACAAATTTTATCATCTGGGACTCCTAACCAAAACTTGTTGAATTTATTTTTAGGTCTCCAAAGAATGTATGCTAATGAAATGATTATGAGATACTTGCGTATATGAGGAGTACATTAAAAAGTATTCAAATATTTGTCGATATTATTCGATACGCCAATGTGGTCCATATAAACGTTATTTCAATAGTTAGGTTTATCCGTTGACGTATCACATGAACCAAATATGAATCTTCTTCAATACCTATTGTGCAGGTCGACTATAAATATTTGAAATTAATTTCCTTAACATATACGAAGATTGTCTTTACAAGGAAACCATTCATATTCTACCGAACTTTTAAAGCCTTGTTGGTCTGCCAGGAAATTCTAAATCGGTAGGGATTGTGCTTAACCCATTAATGCCTGATGGGTATGTAACATAGAAAATGGAACAATGTTCTATATATACAAAATGACAAATCCAAAATCCTTCAACTCAGGCGGGTTATGAAGACAACAACAACTCTGCAACAAGAACTCTGATTGGTCGATTAGATATTTAAATAACCAACGCAAAACTCAGATATGCTGATATTAAGAAAGCTGAAAATTTTCAACGCAACTTCTATTACCTGTATTACATTACACATAAATTTTGTGTAAATGGGTAAAGGGAACAGCTAAGACGGTCCAAAGCCAAATGTGTTTGTTTATAGCAGTTCAAATGCAATACTTACAAAAAACAGAAATCAATTAGGTTCTGGCGATGTTCGAATAAAATAACAAAAATTTATTAGGCATTTTTTAATTCTATGATATTGTAAATTATATGTCACGCCATACACTCCGACTAAAAAAATGGCTAAGCCTTCCAAATGCCGAAAATTTTCCCTCTCCGAGAACCCAAATACCCAAACAAAACACATCCACTTCGGTTGGAAAATGCAAATAAACACTTCAAAATACAAACACTACAAATATTTACGACAGAGGTACTACACCCGTACCTCTATCGTAAATATTGCGATCTCTATCGCATTTTAAACAGACAGACCACACATTTTTCTTAAAGGAATAAGCCGATGTATTATTGGGTGTCAAACCAAGAATATACTGTACACGACCTATCAATTCAACGTTATATGTTTGCAATTAGCCGGTCAGGTCAAAACTTAGAATCTAATACCCTTCCTGCATTGCTCTAGCGAAACAGGAGCCAGATGGCCTGGTTTATCAAAAAAGTAGGCAGTAATTTGATTCAACGAATCTCTTCCACGAACAACTATCGCTGAAAGTTGGCTCATCTCGGAAGACCCACACGTTCGAATTCTGGTTTTTGTCAGGATCGTATGAGGTCGGATCAAAACCAAATGGTTAAGGTCTGGATGAAAAAATTACCGTTTATTTATTCATCAAAAACTATATTGTTCCCTTAAAAGTGAACCCCCAGGTATAATTCAATATGACAGTGTTTTTTCCAATCCTCTAAATTTTTTTGAAATGCGCTGTTTGGAATAACCAATAGATTATTTCCCCAATCGTAGAAAAAAGCTTTCTTTTCATCGGTGTCTTTAGTTTGGAGAAGAGGAACATGCAACGGGAAGTAATCTGAATTGTCGTTGGCGAAGTTCCACAGTTTTGGAACGCTATCCATGCAACATTGTTTTAGTCCAAAATTAAGTAATTTTGGAATAATCTTCGATCCCGCAATTTTCATGTTCAAAGCATCCGTAAAAATTAGATTGGAATGTGCCGAACGATATGCCAATATAATCTCTCTCTGCTTCAATGTTTTCATCAGTTGTTGGCGAGATGGGGTGACTAGGAGGAGCATTGTAATTCTCGGCCTTCCTTAAACAGGCTACTACTGAGCTTGTGTTCTGCTCATAGTTGGCACGTTAAACGTTGCATATAACATTTCAAATGACCCTGCAAATTTAATTTAATTTTGTACACAAAACATAATACAGCGAGTACATCAAACCAGCAGTAAATCACAATCCGAAATGCCTAGTATTACCAACATAATTATATATAACGCTTCTCTACCAATTCGAAAATCAATAATAAGAAACTCGCTAACTAGTTGATCGTACCAAAGTGTACATATATAGCGTATTCTTTATGTCAAATTTTAGAAAAATATATTTTATGGCTTTGTTTTTTCTTTTTTTGTGATTTTACCGAAGCAATAATACTTAACAGAAAATGGTCACTAAGTAATAATGACATCTGACGAAAATCAAAGTATACCGTAAATTTCTTAATTACACACTCGTCGAAAATAAGCATAATGGATGTCATTTTCTACTGTATTGTTCAATGTAATAAACCGTGTTTTCCATTTAACAATATCAGTCCAAAAATAAATCTTATTCAACAGTATTTCTAAAAAAACTATATATATGAAAAACACCAAAATCAGAAAACAAATCCCCACAATAAAATCAAAACAACAGGAAATTGCACTTGAAAGACAAAAATAATAATAAGTACCCGGTACGAGTAAATAAGCATAAAGCTGCCAACCAACAGCAACATAAATGGTGACCAACCGCAATGGAATAAAACAACATCAGAGCTAACCAAAACTTACACTGTTACGAAATGGCATTGGGAAATAAGCAACAAACGCATTGGGATAGTTAAATAATAATACGTTTTTTCGTCTTCTTCTTTTCCCCTGTACACATGCTTATGTTGTTGCTTTTGCTTTTATTATGCGTCCGTTCATTTGCTCGTTTCCTTTCTCTTCCTCACACTCAATTTAATCTACGATTACTTCCTGCAAAACAAGTGATTTCCCTCTAAACAACAATAATCGTAAAAGCTTCTTTGAAATGACTTCGAATCAAGCTTCATAATTTCAAACACATGCTAGCTCATATAAATAATAGAATGGGTCTTCATTTAATCGTAAATAATTTTTTAAATAAATGTGAGGAGAAATAAATTTGGGGAAAAAATAAAAAAATATACACCTGATTATACTCTACACTTCTATGTTGTGAGGGAATTATAGGTGTATTTGATCCCAAGAGTTTGTAAAATATCTTCTTCACCAACTAAACTCCCTATGGGGCGGATGGACGACGATTTAATTAACCATACGTTCCCACGTCTTCCTCTAATATAAGTATTGTGAATGTTATACCCTCCACCATAAGGTTGAGGTAAATTATATTTGTCATTCCGTTTGCAATACCTCGAAATATTCACCAGAAATTATATATATATTATCGATCAGAATATTGTTCTCTATCGTTTTATGCGTGTCCGTCTGTCTGTTGAAATCACGATAGAGATCACAATATTTAAGATAGAGCTCTGAAGTTTTGCACGTTTGGTATTGCAAATGGAATATGTCGGTCCCCGTTTTGGTGTAGCTACCACATTACGGTACCCCTCAATATTTGGTATTTTGTATTTTGAATACTTTTTCAAATATTTGGTATTTTGTTTTAGTCTAGTCGCTCCGTACTAAAATTACCAATGTTGACACAATCTGTATTTTGGCTGTCAAATTTCAAACAAAATTTTGTCTCACGTCTTTTTTGAGTACCATGAGTTTGCTTCTAGGATTGTCATCATGGTTGAGGGTATAAAAAGTTCGGCCGGGCCGAACCTAACATAATTTTTACTTATAATAACCTATTGATATCATTCAATAGTAAACATTTAAGTCTACAGTCTATGATACATTAAATCTAGATAATCTGAATTGTTGATGTGCTTTGATCAATTTTAAAATACGGTAGTGCAAGCGATTTTAATCGAAGCTTTTCATTTACTGAGAGTATAAAATACTAAACTGCAGCCACTTCGATTTTAAATATCAAACAAGTGAAACCGTCGTAAAATTCGGCTGGACAGAACTTCACCACCATATGGACATTGAGAATGCCTAAAATCGGTAGGGACAGTTTTATGGGCAGAGTTTTTCTGTAAGGAAAATATCATATCATACTAAAACAAGAAAACTACAGGACTTTTAACATACCGAATATGGGGCCAATACCTAAATGTGAAGACTATGTGAAGGCTATTATGAACTTTCTCTTCCTAGATGCTGACTTCCCTCCAACAACTCGGAATGCCAAATAGTTTCCATCTTCCGATATAATCTAAACTATAAACTGATACCGCATCATATGAGATTAATTTTTTTCTTTTCAAAATTATGGACCCCTTACCATAAAGACTGGACTCATATTTGTATACCCTTTACCACAAAGAGGTACTGGGTATTATGTATTTGTGCATATAAACCAGATAGACACATGGTTCCTTTTGAGAAGCACTTTCTGACTTGAAATCGGTTCAGATTTAGATATAGCTCCCATATATACTTTCGTCCGATTTTATGTGTACGATGAACCAAACACCCAATATTTGTCCGATTGGGACACAATTTTGCATAGCGTACTGAATTATATCCAGACTGATATATGCGAAGTGTTGTCGAAATCGTTCCGATGTAGACATATTTCCCATATATAATTTCGTCCGATTTTATGTAAATAGTGCACCAAACTCCGATTATTTGTCCGAAAAATGAAGCAAGAAAGATGTGTGTTAAGGTTTGTTGAAATAGGTTCTGATTTAGAAAGTGGTCTTATATATATTTTTGTCCCATTTTCTGTAAATGGTGCACCGAAGAGACTATGTTTGTTCGATGTACACGAAATTTGGCAGAGGGTATTAAATGGTATGTGTATGGGTTATTTAATTGGTTTAATATTTGATTACCGCCCGATTCCATCTCAATGGTCCATCAAATATTCTATGTATGTTCTCTCTACAGACTTTTGAATTTATTTTAAGATTGGAAAAATTTTAAAATTTTCAAAGTATGGATTAAATCGGTTACAGATAAATGGCTATTTCTAAATCGCTTCAAATCCAAAAACACTTCTCACTTAAAAACGACTTTTAATTAGGCAAATTTTGTCGCATCAAGGTTTATATAAATTTATATTGATTTTCCGAAATATCGGAGTTTAAAA